ATCCATTGAACGTCATTGCAATAATGGTCTCTGAAATGCTAGAATGTATGGTAGGTGCTGCTCAGTAAAAGCATTCCGAAAACTGCCAAAAGAAATTATAGCCAAGCGTTATATAAGTTTACTCATTTCAATTTTATGAAAAACTGTTTTCCTTGTGTTTTCATATTGCTTGTTTACAAAATGTACCACGTAACACTTTGTCTTCACATCGTACCCTTTCAGAAGGTCTCCTTAAAATTTTTAAACACAGCCATCGGAATTGGGTGTTGACATTTCATGAGCAACGAGGCGTTGAAATGTGCATCAACATTTTGTCCTCTTACCAAGCAAAAGTAAAATGTGTATTCTGTATTTCATATGTGATGGGCAAGTAGTGAAGTTCCACATAAAACTTGCTTCAAACTGTTATGTTCTGTTATGTTTTCGTCCCCACATAACATATTGCTTATCTGTATTAACGGTATTTTACGCAGCTGGTTTTACTGGAAGAAAATAAGTGGTAGGTTGTAGGGCAAATATGTATCATATTCGATCTCTGCTTTATTAGAAATTATAGCCATTTTTAATGTTGTCAGTGTTCCTTGAAGTGAAGTCTTATAGTAGAAGTCATATTGCTGTTTCTGACGATTGATCTAACAAGTTTCTGTTCAGACAAATTCATATTTGTTCAACTTTCGTGCTTATTTAATAGGCGTACTATTTGCAAGAAATTGATTATAGGTAAAGGATTTCGGTTTGAAAGGATTGTTTTTTTGGAAGACTATATTATTTTCACTAACATGCACCTGTTAATCACACACACACACCCTGTGGTATTTTAAGTCACATTAAACAGGGAGATTTGCTTCGTGCTTTTGATATTTTAATACGTATTAAATCTTATTATTTCTGATCCTAATAACAGCGACTTTCTGCTTATAATATAATACTGTGCATCAACAGTAAGTACATCAACATAACAGACTATCCTATAATTTACAAGTTACAAGTATTTGTCCTACATCAAACTATTAACACTTAAACTGAAACTTTCAGTTAATGTCTTCGAAGTTAGTGTGTAAGCATTTAAGAATCATTATTGGTTATTATGTACAGTAGGTTTCTACTTCTAACCCATTTCAACTCACCTACCTATCTACAAGCTTAATTAAAGAAAGCGCATAATTTATTTCAGTGTTTTAACTGATAACCAGCAGTAGAGAGTGATTATCTTTGTATTTCGTGAAGACGACTCGAATTGTGGTAACATGTCGTCACTGATAAGTTTATTACATAAAAATTGATTTCTAATGCTTCTTTCAATACAGGCTTGCGAGTATATCACATTAAAACTTATGAGAAAAATCTGGAAAAAAGTATTTTTACGTATTGTATAAATACCTCTATATGTTATGGTTTGCTGCTGTAGTACACTGCACCAATAGGCCTGAAACGATGAAACAATGCAATTTGTTAGTCACTGCTTTTAGCGCAGTATTTGGGATAAACGAACCTATTTAGAATTCTGTAGCCCACAGAGTGACCGTATGGTTTTCGTACGATTCTGAGAATTCACAGCGATAATGTCCCAAACAACACTAACGAATTCATCTTTGTAATGGGGATCCGTTGCGTTTTGCGTGATATAGGAAATTCATTTTTAAATATTGTGTTAACTTCAATGCAGGCTTATGCCTGTTTATAGAGGTATTAGGACGTCAAATTTATTCCATCGGCGTGAAACCGGATGTCGTGTCTTAAGGAAAATTGTCGCTGACACGCTTGGTTTTCTTTTTTGTTTGGAAACCATTCGTAGATGAGTTTTCTTTCCCTTGCCGCTTATCCCCTGTGGTTCTGTTTAACTACTTAATTTGGTTTGTTTCTATTACTTTTCTCCCCTAGTTACAGCTTTTCTGTGTGTCTTTCCTTTCCATTACGCGTCTGATACTTGTATAAGAGAAAGCACAGACAACAGGCATTGAGAACGGTGTACAAATGAAGGAATCCTGCGGAAACGAAGGTGCATTGACGGGGCGTAGCTTAAGAGTAAATACCTTGTGATTTGGGAAAGATAAGAACGGAATAAAATAGAACTTTTATAAGCACTAAGGCTATTTGCACTTACCTAAGTAATACAAATTACTGAAGATATTCGTATGAAAATCGTACTTTAATCATTTCTTCTCTTCACATGTTTAGAATAAATCATTTCGAATCTCCCGAATTAAGAAATGAAATTAAAATTTCTCACATATATGTATATATATGCTAATATTAATTACTATTCGTTTTATTTAGTCTGATCTTTGTAATACAAAAGCCAGTAGTCAAGTGTTTAGACATTTGGACTCTCCGAACGTCAAAAAATGTTAGTTTCCTTCCTGTAAGTCTTAACGCAATTTTCATAATAGGCTATTAGCATTTTAGAATAGACAGGAAAGAACGTTCTTCAAAAAGGTATCAGAATACCAGCAGTGCATAAAAATGGAGTGCAGTTTGTTGTTAGGACTATAACGGAAATGTTGATGCTAATAATAAATAATTCTCTTGAAATACACCCGGAAATGCCTGAGTAGTGAAAGAACAACAGTGTTTAGCTTCATTTTAATCGGCTAATCCTTATTTTCATTTTATCCTCTAACTCCTCATTACTTCATGGAGGAAAACCCTTCGTGAGGAGCCGACAGTCGCTTAGTTAGTCTTGGAAATCACTGTCATATTACTTAAAAACGTTTTAGTCTTCCGTCTTTCGCTTCAAACGTTTTTTGACAACTTCTGCAGTTATTAGAATATCATTCTTCAACCTTAGGCCGAAGATGTGATTATTTCGCCTTTCTAAAGGCCTACAGATTTATCTTTTTCAGCAGTTTAGTTTGTCGACTAATTTAATCTTCATTATCTGTTACCTTATTTTCTGACATTGGCGTCTTCTAACTTCCATCATGCGGGTAACTGGGGGGTTTCTTTGGCGTGTAAACTGTTAGCCACGGTACTTGTCATGGGACGTGACCCGTGTAGCACAATTACCACGCGATGCTGTTGTCAAAACAAAAAGAGTCTTCATTCGGTGTTGCTGTAAATTCATCCTTATCCCTGAAGACCTGCGAGAATGTAAAACAAGTGGTTTAAGATTCGTATATGCGTGTTTAATTCCTGTTAATAGAAGTATAAATTCAGTATTTAATGTTTCACGCAATAAATAAATGACTTTCAATTAAATTACGGACTAGCAGCAACTGGCAGCTCTGATGATTTGGAACACGTCACTGCTTAATTCGGAAGTTCTGTGCCAAAACTTGCTTAAGATTCAGTGTGATTTGTGGTTGTAGAGTGTATTTCACTGATTCAGTGTTTTGTTTGTCAAAACCTGGCTAGAAAAATATTACTTTTATTGCAGAGAAATATCAGTCAAATTAAAAAATGTGCAATAAATGTATTATGGTTCCTGCTGCATAGGTAAATATTAGTCTAATACATTTCCTGTTCAGAATGGTGGTAAAGTTAAGAAAAGTTAAACTACAGTAGCAACTCAAAATTTCATCCACATAGAAATTAATATTGGGGAATCCTTGCTAACATTCAGTTCAGTATTTTTATTTTATGCTCCTCTAATACACTTTAAATTATCACAATTTTTAATGTTTTTCTCCAAATTAGCTGCAAGCATTCTATTGTGTGACATACAAGGGTTTAAATGTACAGTTGTAAGACCGACCAGAAAACATTATTTAGGCTTCTACAGATACACGCCGATAACGGTGTCAGTGTCCGAATTAATAGTAGTGATAACTGTGGATGCATGCTACTGTAACAGGACACGACACAGAAATTGTTTCAGTTGAGACTGAAGGTAATGGACCACTTGGAAGACCAAGGTCTAAATGGGAGGACCTGATATTAGAATGAATTTTGAAATACAGAATGTAAAATTTTGTACTTAAAGGTTCAGTTATGGACTCCTGTGAACACAGAATTGGAGCACTAGATTTCTCTGTTCTATGAAGCAAATTATAAAAATGATGGTAAAAAAATAATTAGACCGAAAAGAACATGTCGCATATGATGCAACTTTCGAGCCTACTTCGAAAGCAAGAAAGTGAGAATTCTGTCTTCCAGTATGAACCAGAAACAAAACACCAAATTCTGCAATAAAATGCATTTTAGTGGTAATATCTTCATTTTATAAAATCAGTCCGTTTTAATTTTGAGACCACATATTAAGCCGGAAATGTAAGTCATTATTAAGTCGGAGAGCGATCTAGAGTCGTAGCTGATAATAAGGACAAATATAAAGCCAATTTACATACTGCCACATGGATGAACGTAAATATGCATTAAGATGTCTCCGTCTAGGACAAAAAAACATGTCAACATTTCTACAGCAGCAAGATATATCTTAGAAAAGAATATTATGCTAAAGCCGACTGTGTAGTTGCATCGTACTTAAATTGTGACATTTGTGACTGGCTTGAATCGGAGTTATAGTAGTTGTCCATTAAACTGTAGAATATATAGGATAACTCTTAGGAATCTTGTTCTGGTGCAGTTCTCTTTCCAAAACAATCGAGCGATAGCCAACAGCACGACGACTGAGTATAAATTAAATTCTAGAATATTCAAGATCGGAATCAGTACAATTAGACGGAGAATCGCTTACAATTAATAAATCTAATTCATTGTTCGTGTCATGGAAAAAATATCGGTTGTATTCTTTCACAAACGCTACCTGTCTACATCGCTGGAATTTCGCAATAATTAGGTAATTAATAGTTGTTCTTGCTTACTTATTGTATTGAATACATAATACAACATGAATCAGAATTTAAGCTTCGGTAAATTACAGGCACGTATACAGTTACTCTTAATACTGGTTATTGTATTAAGATTGACATTAAGCCTCATCTGAAGAGGACATTGGTATGAAAATTAGCAGTGAGCAAGAATCAAATGACCATTACCTGTAGTAGATGACATACCAGGTTAAGACATGCGCTATCTGACTTTAACACCTTGGAAATAAATTTCTAAATAGTTTGTCAGAAATCTAATAAACCAAAGCCCTTAAAGGATAATTTTGTTCTTAAAATTTTCTGCTTTCGCAGTTAGCCTCGTAGCTTAAAGCAGTTTTCATAAATATTTGAATATCTTGCATTATATTTTCCGCAATTTTTAACACATCTCGATAACGGGTCTGGTTTTACACGGAACATATATTATTTAGATTTATATTACACTCGTTATGAAGGTGGATGAAACATACCTACTATCAAACAGGTGTGGGGATAAATTAATCCGATATACATCTCTGTACTACCTACAGTCATTACATACTAAAAGAGATAAAACAGAGTACCACAGCCTACCACGGGCATACAAGGTTATTAACTATGCCAGATTTTCTGTTGTGGGGGACCCCGAGACACTCAAAATATGGAGGCTCCCAATCAGTGACAATAAATTAGGTTAAATTGCAATTATGTTAAATAAACTATAATTAAATATATATAAGTACCACGTGATCGGTTTCTGGCGATAATTGTCTGGACGCATTTTTCCGCAAAAAAATATTTGGGTTTTTGGAGGCCCCTGGGCAAATACACTGTTCGATACCCCTTAAATCGGCCCTGGTTATAAACGTGCTATTTGTGCTAAACATTTATGTAAACAGTTTATCACCGTAAGTTATTGGACGCAAGTGGAAACAAATGTAAATCATTTCTTTGCATTGATTTCAGTATGCTGTGCCATGGAGGATGTGAAATGTTGATGTTAGAGGATCTGCGTATATTTTAGCATATTATTATTCAATTCCTTGGCAGGTTGACCGACGGCTTTGTATATTCCAATCATTGCGTTTCTTAAACAATATAAACATTATCAGCGCAAACTTTAGAGGTAGATTTTCTTTCAAATTAATCACTGAATAGTTGGAGTTTAGGGTCTGCTCATTATTTAAATTAGGTTGTTCTACAGGCGAGACTATGCGATTCTGAGAACTACGTAGCTAACCTTTACTTGGGAGAAATATAAAGAACGAAAGAAAGAAAATTAACGAAGAGTGGACGAAATTCAAATAAGGAAGGACATTTTGAAAACTGAAGGAGCACGAAATTATGATCAGTGGCTGGAACGTCTTCAGAGACAATCAAGGAACAGTCATAGGGTATATAAATATATATATATATATATATTGCAGAATCACAAGTTCACTTCCTGAGAGATCTGACCTATTGCTACCATGACAATTAACTGGAATAAATTGCGTGTCGGCAGCCATAATTCTTATTAGTTTCCCGTCAAAAAAAATAGAATTGTGTTTTCATGTTATTTTGATACTAAATTTGCTTAAGGTTTTGGCCATGAAGAAATCATTCAAACTCAGAGCAACTTCAGCATGTCACCTCAGCAGTGACAAAAGACAGATAACCATATGAGGCATGAAACGTACCTTTATCGTTGAAGATTTCTGCTGTGTAGTCTGGTAGATGTTTACCAACGTTTCAGAGGTCATACTGCCTCCGTCATCCGTCATTCATCGCCCTGATAACGGAGGCAGTATGACCTCTGAAACGTTGGTTAACATCGACCATACTACTAAGCGTAACAACCTAGAAGACAGAAATCTTCATACTCACCGCTGTGAAAACCTCAAATCTTTTAATATTGTGTCGGACTTGTGGGTAAAAAAACAATTTTAAAAATAACTAAATTAAAACTCTGGATGAAAAACTGAACTGTAACTTTTTCAGAAATTTAAATACTTGTAAGTTATTCTTAGAGAAAAATTATTCATGTGTAAAATAAATAGTAATTTTCAGCATTTATAGTATTTTCTCGAAGGCGCAAATGACCGATTCAGTTGTGCCCGAGAGGGATCGAAAGCAGCGTAACACGGTCACTAGCAACTTACTTCAACTGCCTTCACTAGTTATATTGTGTTCCGAGAGAGTTTCATTAATTCTGCCAACACGTAGGCCTACTTGTCAGTTTTCAGCGTACATATTAGTCACGTTCTTTAGAAAAAGCTGTTTCCATACATAAATGACATTGTAAACCACTCTAAACATCTGCTCTAACGTCCTGTTCGTACACAGTCATGCACAAATTGTGATTTCCAGAATTTTCTTTTTCATTCCTGTTTTCCTTTTCCTTCATTCTCTCTGTGTTCCTAGTTTCATTTTCGATATTTATTGATCTGCCAAGAGAACTTTAAAGAACAACCTCTGATAGCGGACTGTTACTGCGTATCGTATAGGGAGCATAAATATAGAAAAGCAGCAAGTGACGGTCTCTTGCATGCCCGACCGCTTGCCCCTGCAACATAGACATCCATATACACACATAAATATACACATGAATATTATATTATTTGTCTGTCCGGCATTTTTCGTTCGTGCTTTTATTTTCAGTACTTTAAGGTTTACGTATTTGTAGACTGTATGTAGTCTTTTCCAATAATCATAGACCTCAGAATGATTAAATGTCAGTAAGCGAGGATAAAGCAAATTGTTGTCATTTTCTGATAGAACTGTACTACACTGCATTAGATTCCTAGATAAATTTGTCTTGGTTTGAAAGTTTCGTCATTCGATACGTGTAAATCGGATATTTGTGAATGTACACCGTGTCTGTAAGTGTATAACGAATTTATTTCGCGGCTAACTCAAAATTATCGGATTTACGTACATATATTTAATCTTGGGTTCGAAGATATTTCACGTATAGAATCATATTAACATTTCGAAGTTTGTTAATTTTAACATCTCAACTTTAGCTTTAGATTCTTTAGTTAAGTAGCATTACCTGTATCACTTCTGAAGTTCCACTATAGTTTCGGAAAAGTTTCCGCTTTGTGCTATCCCACAGGCCTCTTTCAAGTTTATAACCCATAAATTTTCGGATTCTTGTGACAATTTACTAAACGACAACAGATGGTTCAAGAATGCGGTACTTCAGACTTGTAACTTCTTGTAATAACACATGAATTAAGTTTATAAACAAAAATGTCTTACCAGAATAGTTTATAATACTATAAATTATATTAATTCCCAACTAAACTCTTTTATGTTACATACACCTGTTTGCCTATCCTATATATTATATATTTATTATGAAATGTCTGCAAGTAGGAGGCTATATTCTTTAATTTATTAATTATTTAATGTGCAAGACCAATGAAATATATGGTAACAACTTTCTAGGCATTACTATAAGTAACTTAACTGCGCTATTCTAATTGACCTTGCTTTAATATTCAAAACTT